CATATTATATTGATTCTATTATTTTTATTGTTATATATTCTTTTTAGTTTCTACAATCTATTATAATATTTATACCGTGATGCAGAAAAAAATAAGAAAGAAAATATCGCAAAAAGAAAGAACCAAAGAAAGAATGTATCTATATTTTTTAAAATTATTTATTTTATTTTTTTACTAATAACTTTTTGTCATTCTTATTATTTATGTATCTTTTTCAAATTAATTTGGTTTTTAGTATAATATTTTAATAGATTTTTTTATCTGATCATGTTCAAACTTTTGAATTTTTATATTTGAAAAATTCATACAGAAAATTACGATAAGCTTTAACATATAAATATTTTATTTTTATAGCATTCTTAATGTATATGTATTCTTTAATTACTTATTATACTATTTTTATTTTCTATAAATTATATATTTTTAATTTTTATTGTGTATCTTATTTTTCAAATTGATTTAATTCTAACAATATATTATAGTATATATAAAAAATTATAAATATCAATTATATAAAATATTAAATCAGTATATAATAAAAATATAAAAATAATATGTGCATAACATTGGTTACACGCAAGTATATTTATATACAATTGAACATAAAAATAAAAATCGGTAGAATTTTTATTTTTTATTATTTACTCTAAATGCTAAATGATAAAAATCTAAAAATATTATAAAATAAGATATAAATACTTCAAGAATTCTAATTAAATATAATTTCGATATAAATATAAATCAATAAAATAATATAGAAAATACAATATAATCTATAAAATTAACTAAACTTTTAAAGGTGAAAAAAATATTAAATTAACATAGTATATTACATTTTTAAACTTTTATTCTTCGGACTTCTTTCATTCCCCTCATCCTTCGGCTTCGTATTCGCACACGTTTATTTTTCTCCGGATTCGACTTTATATTCATCTAAAAATAGATTGAAAAACTATGAATTTAACATACAATTTTAAAAGTATAAAAAATTATAAAATTCAAAAAAAATAAAAAATATTATTATACACATTCAAAAATAAATTAATATTATACACATTTAAAAATAAAGATAATGAAACTTACAATTTTCTCAAATATATATAAAATAAAATAAAATAACTCAAAAAATTGAGTGCTAAGTAATTGAGAATTATGAGTCTCACACCATTCTCACATATATATACATATATATTATATGAGGTAATACACATACTCAAATATATATATTTGTAAGATCGGACCAAAAGATGATTTTAAAAATTAAAAAGAAAAACATAAATAACAATAAAATAATAATTTTTTTCTTAACCATTTTTTTTTCTTTTCATCCCATCTTTAATTTTGAGATTGGACTTAATTTTTTATATGTTTCGACTTTATTTGCTCTTGTTCTTTTTTGTCTTCTCGTTTTAAAATAAAACAAACACAATCATATATATATATATATATTTGACAAGACGTTTTAATTCCTGCGTTATCATAATTTTGGAGTTTTATTCTATTTTTTAAATATTAAGTTTTTATCATAAAAAGTGTGTATTTTTAAAAATTATTTATTATATTTTTTACTAATAAATTTTTGCATTATGTGAGTTTTTTTTATTTGAAAATTCCATATAGAAAATTACGATAGATTTTAATATGCATAAATTTTATTTTTATTATGTATGTATTTTTTGTATTTATTTATTTTTTTAATTTTATTTTCTATTATATTTTTTAATTTTTATAGTGTATGTTATTTTTAAAATTGATTTGATTCGAATAATATATTATTTATATAAATTATAAGTATTATTTATTAAAATACTAGTGTGTAACTCGTACTATGCACAAATTATTTTTATATTAAATTATATATTGATTCAAATTTTTTTATAAAGCATATTTATATTTATATATATAATATATTACTCGAATCAAATAAATTTAAAAACTAACACAGAGAATGAAAATTTAAAAAAAAAAAATTTATAGAAAATAAGAATAACAAATTAGATAATAAAAATACATATATAATAAGAATGGAACTACTACAATAAACATCTATTTTTTATATGTTAAACTTATCATAATCTATGAAATTCCTAAATATTTCTTTCAAAATAAAAAGACTCAAAATTTGAACTAAAAGCTGAAAAATCTATTATAATATTATGCTAAAACCCAAATCAATTTGAAAAAATGCATATAAAATAAGAATAAAAAATTAATTAATAAAAAATACAATAAATAATTAAAAAAATATATTAGAATTGATTAGTTAAAATAAAAAAAATACATAACAATAAGAATAATAAAATCAATATAATACAATACTTAACTTATGCATAGTCAAAATTCAAAATTTTTAAAATTAAACAAAAAATTTTATTGTACAATAATGAATTATATTTACAAATAAAATATAAAAAAACTACGATAAATTTTATCATAATTTTTTTTTTCAAGAATAAAGAATATTTCAAGATAAATAAAACAATTCAAGGATAGCCAGACAAAGAACAAAAATATACTATAATCAAATTGTATATAAAAGTCTTTAAAAAATACGTGGAAACAAGTCCCAATCACCACTATATAACTAAATGAAAACAACAAACTTAAGAAAAATTAAGATCAAGAAAACGAACTAAATAAATCTGTCACATTCTATAAAATTTTGATCGAACTACAAATATCCGATTGAAAAACTCACCGTTAGATTGAAAGAACAACGAATCACGAACATTGAAAAATTCAACTTGATTAGAAGGTCAACGAAGCGAGACTCAGATATTTTTTTGTATCTATATCAAAGAATTAAAGAAAATATATTAGTATAAGTAAAACGAATACAATTTTTAAATGCAAAACCAAAAATTTTAAATAGAACAATTTGTAGAATTAAAACTAAGTATATATATATATATTTGTAATATCCTAATTTTATTCATAAATTTGTTATTTATTATCCTAATAAATTCTAATTTTATTAGATTATTTGTTATTTTAACATATTTTAATTAATTATCTAAATTCAATATTTAAAAAAATTAAAATAAAATTTCAAAATTACGTGAGCGCATAAATTGTAATGCCTTGTCACATATATATATTTATATGATTAAATTAGTATATAATCGTATCATCATATCATCATATATATATATATATGACAAGACACTTTAATTCGTGTACTCTCATAATTTTAGAGTTTTTTTATTTTATAAATAATAAGTTTAGATAATTAATTAAAATTTGTTAGAATAAGAAATAATTTAATAAAATCCAGATTTATTGAGATATTAAATAACAAAAATATGAATTAGGATTTTGTACATCTATATATATACTTACTTTTAATTTTATAAATTGTTTGGTTTTAAAAATTTTGATTTTGTTTTTAAAATTCGTATTCTTTTTATTTACTAATATATTTTCTTTCATTATTTGATACACAAAATACAGAAAAAAAAAAAATAATTATAAGACGAAGATTAGAAGAAGAATACTGAAATACATCGCTTCGTTAATTGTCTAATCAAGCATAAAATTAAGAGAGTGTTCATGGTTTGTTGTTATTTCAATCCAACAGTGAGATTTACAATAAGATGTTTGTAGTTCAGCCATAATTTTATAAAACATGACGAATTTCTTTTGTTCATTTTTTTTAATCTTACTTTTTCTTAAATTTGTTATTTTTATTAGTTGATATAGTGATGATTATGACATATTTACATACATTTTTAAGACTTTTATATACAATGTGATTATAGTAGATTTTTTTTTTAATATCGTATTTTTTTTTTCATATTTTATTTGCAAATATAATTTGTTATAGTTCATTATGTTCTTACTAAGAGATTGTGTTTTTCTATTTTCATATACCGTGAATTCTAACAATAAAAATTTTTGATTAATTTTTAAAATATTAAACTTGATTATGCATAAATTAATTGTCGTATTATATTGATTCTATTATTTTTATTATTATGTATTTTTTTAGTTTATATTAATCAATTCTAATATTCATTTTGTGATGTAACACTACAAGAAAAAATTATTTTTGTAACAAAATTTTTTTGTCTCTAAATCTACTTTTTCCGTTACTAATGACATTAGAGACGGAATTAGGAATGAAATTACGTTAGCTACGTGAACTTTAGGGACGTAATTCCGTTACAAATATATTATTTTTTTGTAGTGTAAAAAAATTAAAAAAATAAAGAAGAAGCAAAGAAAGAATACAGTGTCTGTATTTTTAATTATTTATTGTATTTTTACTGTTTAATTTTTTTATTCTTATTGTATAAACATTTTTTTAAATTTGATTTGGTTTTTAATATAATATTTTAATAGATCTTTCAATTTTATAGATTATGTTTAAATTTGGAGGTTTTTTTTTTCAAATAATATTTGGAAAATCCATATACAAAATTATGATGAATTTTAATATATTAAATTTTATTTTAGTTATAGTAGTTTTATTTTTATTGTATATATATATATTTTAATTATTTATTTCGTTATTCTTTTTTTTAAAATTTATTTTTTTTATTTTTATTTTTTATGTTATTTTTTAAATTGATATAATTCGAGTAATATAATATATATAACTATAAATATTATTTATTAAAAAATACTCCCTCTGTCCACTTTAAAAAATTTACATTTATTTTTGTGTGTTGATATTTGAATATTAATTACTATATCAAAACGGAAAAATGACAAAAATACTTGTCTTATAATATTAATAGAAGAACGTTTATACAAAATTATACAAATATAAAATATTTTTAATGTTAAATAATTGTGGACTGAGGAAGTATTAATTTAGAATATAAGTTAATATAAAAATAATTTGTGCATAGTGTAGGTGACGCGCTAGTATAAGATATAAGATAAAAAAAAGGTTGAATACTTATAAATATGGATTTGTACTTATGGCTACATGTTTGGTATATTTTGTCCTTTGACATCGAAAATTTTACATTACGCCATTATGGTGGTGTGGATGTTGAACTATGGGTTCAAACTCCGCAGCTATAAAAAAAAAAAAAAAAAAACCCTCCCTCCTCCCACGCTGCCTCAAGCTCTTCTTTACCCAGCCGTGCCGGAGTTGGAGAAGAAAGCTATGAACGAGTTGACAGCCTTACGCAATGCTGTTCGGAACTGTTCTGTCCATCGGGTTTGTTGCTGCAGTTCTTCAGCGATGCCTTCACCGGAGGAACAACCGCGGTTCGCCGAGAATACTCCTCGGTTCTTTTACCCAACTCCGCCAACAGCGACAGGCCCTGTGTCGCACCCCGTAGTCACTCAGTAAAAGTTCTTCTATATTGTCTTGTCTCGTCGAGTGGGGCTGATAACACCAATTTCTTGATTCTGTCTTCCGATTTCAACCTAAATGTAAGATTCCTAACCCTAGAATTTTAAATTTGGGGTTCTCATATATTGGGCATTCTGTATGCGAGACACGACCATGGGGCAGAGGTTTGTAGATTGATTAGGGTTACATTGAATTTTCATGCTCATCTTGGTCGGGATTCTGTCCCATCTTGATTTTTGTTTGTTTGAGCTGTTTGATTACTGTTGTTCTGCCGTCTGTGTGCCACCTCATTTCCCCCATTCCATTGCAAAGAAGTGTTAAGGCTACATAATGTATGTTTATGTTCTTCTACTTGATCAATTTCTCTATGTTGAGAAGTAGATGTATCTGTTGAATATCTTGCTATGTATAATTATGATGAACCATTGACTATTGATTATTTTGCTGAAGAATGGCAAATATTAATAAAAGCGTTAACTTGTAGAAGTGTGAAAGCGCCTTTTCCTAATTTTGCAATTTAGGGTATATAAATACCTTTATTGAACCAATTTTGCGAATAATGAAAAATCTAACCGAATTACCTGTCTTCTCCTTCCCAAATCCCTCTAATCCCTCGCGCGCTGTCTTCTTCTTCCCCAATCCCTCTGATCTCTCGCACGCTCAGGCTAGAGACGTGACAATTTGGTATCAGAGCCAGATTTCGCAGCTCTCTCTCTAGATGACGCGATCTTAAACACAAAGGTTAGATGTTCTGGAACAACAAGTAGCAGAGGTTGTAGACGGCCAAACTGCTATAATCCAAGGCCAGATTCAAATGGAAGCTAGGCTGGAATCTAAGCTAGATGCGAAGTTGGAGAGTCTAGGAGATTTGTTGAAGACTCAATTTCTGAATTTCATGAAGGAACAACAAGCTGGACCTTCATTCAGAGGTAAGGAGCCTCTAGATCCTCATATTTCACATATTGCTCTCGACTCTGGTGTTAAACCTAAGGAAGGAAGGGGAATACTGTCTCCAACTCCCATGACTAGGTTAAATGAAGCTCACTCCACTTTGCATAATAATAAATTACGATTGGAGGCATCTGTTTGTGACACTGAAATTGCAACATTGCTTCAAGAGTATCAACATCTATTTGGAGTCCCCGTTGGTTTACCCCCTAAGAGAAGCATTGACCATAGAATTCCCACCAAGCCTAATATAAGACCTATTAAGCAGCATGCTTATAGGTATCATATGCTTCGAATGAGGGAGATTGAAAAATTGGTGGATGAGATGTTGCAAACAGGGATTATTAGACCCAGTAACAGCCCCTATTCCTCGCCTATGCTATTAGTTAAAAAGAAGGATGGCTCATGGAGGTTTTGCATTGATTATAGGAAACTCAATGCAACTACAATTAAAGATAGCTACCCGATTCCCTTAGTAGATGATTTATTGGATGAGCTAGGGGAAGCAACTATCTTTTCAAAGATAGACCTAAGGGCTGGATACCACCAAATTAGAATGCATGAAGAGGATATCCCAAAAACAGCATTTGTAACTGCCTCCGGCCTATATGAGTTATTGTGATGCCTTTTGGCCTCACAAATGCACCAGCTACTTTTCAAGCAGTTATGAATCAGATTTTTAAGTCTAACTTGAGAGATTTCATCCTAGTTTTCTTTGATGATATACTTATCTACAGCTTGAACATGGTAGAACACTTGAAGCACTTGAGGATAGTGTTTAATATTCTATCTCAGCATACTTTATTTGCAAAAAAACCGAAGTGCAGTTTTGGAAGAAGAGAGGTTGAGTATTTAGGGCATATAATTGGGAGTGGAATAGTGCGGATGGATAAGTCTAAGGTTCAAGCAATGCTGGACTGGCCAACCCCATCTAATGTTAAGGCTTTAAGAGGATTCTTAGGCCTCACGGGATACTACAGAAAATTCATTCAACATTATGGAACAATTGCTAAGGCCTTAACTGATCTTACAAAAAAGGGGAGGTTTGTGTGGTCTCCAGAAGCTGAGACTGCCTTCCAAATTCTTAAAAACGCAATGACTACAGCTCCGGTTTTGGCCTTACCTGATTTCACTAAACCTTTTGTTGTTGAGACTGATGCATCTTACAAGGGCTTGGGAGCTGTTCTCATGTAGGGCCAGCACCCTTTGGCTTTCCTAAGCAAGGCTTTAGGCCCTAAAAGTTTGGGGTTATCAATATATGAGAAGGAATTTTTAGCTATTATATTGGCTGTGGAGAAGTGGAGGTCTTATTTGTTTCACGCTCCATTCATTATTCGAACAAATCAGAGGAGCTTGAGATACTTGTTAGATCAAAAAATCTCAACACCATTGCAGCATAAATATTTGACCAAACTCCTGGGGTTTGATTACAGCATTGAACACAAAAAGGGAACTGAAAACAGAGTGGCTGATGCATTGTCTAGAGTTCACCATTTAAATGAGGAATTGGTGGAAGGAAAATGTGCAGCTATTACTATCTTTAAGCCTATGTGGGTGGGTGAAATTATCAACAGCTATGGCACTGATTTGTTCCTCCAGAATACAATAGCTGAGCTGGTTACCTTACCTTATAATATGTCTTTGTACAGCTATCATGAAGGACTATTGAGACATAAAGGCAAATTGGTGGTGGGTTGTTCTGGAGATCTAAGAGATCAGATCCTACATCAGTTCCACAGCTCAAGTGTTGGTGGTCATTCGGGCATTAATGCCACATTTCAGAGGGTGTCCAGTATTTTTTGGTGGCCAGGGATAAGGCAGCATGTACAGACTTTTGTCGCTTCTTGCCAAGTGTGCCAAGTGAGCAAGCATGAGAATGTTCATAATCCAGGGTTATTGCAACCCCTACCAGTTCCGGAGCAGGCTTGGACTCATATCTCTATGGATTTTATTGAGCAATTACCTAAATCAGCCAGCAAAGACACCATATGGGTGATTGTTGACAGATTCACCAAATATGCTCATTTCATTGCCATTGCTCACCCATTTATAGCCTTTAGTCTTGCTCACTTGTTCCTACAGTCAATCTGCAAATTACATGGCTTACCTCACAGTGTTATTTCTGACAGAGACAAGGTATTCACTAGTCAATTTTGGCAACAGTTGTTTAAGGTGTTGGGGATTGAGCAGGGATTAAGCACAGCCTACCATCCACAAACCGATGGACAAACTGAGAGAGTAAATCAGTGCTTGGAATCTTATCTCAGGTGTATGTGCAGTGCTAATCCTAAGCAATGGTTCAACTGGCTACCTATGGCAGAGGTATGGTACAATACTTCCTATCACACCTCCCTAGGTACGACTCCATTTCATGCATTATATGGTTTCCATCCTACACCATGGTTTTCTGGCCCTATACCTTACACCAATGTGGAAGGGGTTCAAGATTTGGTCTCTAATCAACAGCAAGCCCAACATCTACTTAAACAGGCCCTATTGGCAGCTCAATCTCGTATAAAGTATTATGCAGATTCTCATCGTCGTGAACGTGAATTTAAAGAAGAAGATTGGGTTTACCTCAAGCTTAAGCCTTATCGGCAACTTTCACTTCACTCCAAGGATGTCTGGAAGTTAAGCCCCAAGTATGCTGGTCCGTTCAAGATTTTAGCTCGTGTTGGTGTTGTTGCCTATCGCTTGGAGTTGCCCACGTCTTCTCGCATCCATCCAGTTTTCCATGTTTCTCTTCTGAAGAAACATGTTGGTCCACTGTCTACTGTCATTGCCTCCTTGCCTTCTTTTGATGATGATGGGAAGATTATGTTGCAACCAGTAAAAATTTTGGCCCGTCGCCTTGTCAAGCGAGGATCTTCGCCGGCAACCCAACTCTTGGTTCAATGGGCCCACCTTCCTGAGGAAGAGGCCACATGGGAGTTCTTTGAGGATTTCAACACACGCTTCCCTGGTGTTGCGACTTGAGGACAAGTCATGTTTGAAGGGGGAGGTATTGTCACGAAGAAATGAAGAAGGAGAAAAATGGCAAATATTAATAAAAGCGTTAACTTGTAAAAGCGTGAAAAAGCTTCTTCCTAATTTTGCAATTTAGGGTATATAAATACCTGTATTGAACCAATTTTGCGAATAATGAAAAATCTAACCGAATTACCTGTATTCTCCTTCCCAAATCCCTCTGATCCCTCGCGCGCTGTCTTCTTCTTCCCCAATCCCTCTGATTTCTCGCGCGCTCAGGCTGGAGACGTGACAGCCTTTGAATCGCAACTTAGGTGTCCACAAAATTCAATGGCGGTTGCCTATTCATTTCAACGTAGTAGTTTGCTCTCCAATGTATCCTAAAATATTTCTGGTGGAGTTATACTGAGATTGTTAATGCCAAATATATATGTGCGATCTGTTTTACAGAAAAAGTAGAGACACATATGCATGTGTTCTCTCTCCAAAATTCGCTTACATTACATATTACAGTACTCTATTTTAAGGATCATGGTATTGAATTGTCATTTCTATTGATTAATATTTGAAATTTCATAAATTTTCCTTAGTTCATTTGTTTATTAGTAATTTTCATTTTTTTTTCTTTTTCACATATGTAGTGATGCTTCTAAAGATGAACATATTGGGGTTCAATCTACTTCTCTGATGGATAAAATGGGGTTAGCAGAGTGTGTGCTCCATGAACTCACACGTGAATTTCATCTAACCCTATCGGTGGGTGGAATTCTTGTTTACCACTTTTGATATATAGAAGCTTTGGTAACTCAATTATAAACTTGATTGATTTAGGAATGCACCTCAACAGTTGACTACCTTAAATTGGTTGGTGAGTCTACCAACTTGATAAATTATTGAAATAGGTGCTAGACAAAACTGTGATTGTTGTTGTCATTTGATCCACACAAGAAGAAATATAGAAGTCTGCTTTGTTTTAATTTCTCAATTCAAGGTTTTCTCTTCTTAATCGTTTGTTGCAATAATCTTGGGTTCAGTCTTATAAAGATTCAAAGATCTATCTGATTATTTTTGCTGAGTGAGAGTGTTGGTTTTGCGAAGGATTTGGATGGTTGCATGTTTGATTATCGGAGAGATTGGATTAGCTTTTTGAATGATTGCTCAACAGTGTCTTGTTACAATTTAATGTTTATTTGGTTTTATGGTTTGTGCTCTCACTGATTAATTATTTGAATCCAAAAAAATCGATTGAAGTGTTCTACTGGTTGTTGGGTTTGTTATTAGGATTTGATTTGATTGAAGGTGCATTAGGAATTAGGTGAGCTTTTATTACTCATGCATTGACAGAGAGTAAGCGCTTGTTTTTGCTCTACCAAATAATGTGTGTGATGAGTTTAGAATTATAGGAGTTGTTATTAGTAAGACAGATAAGTTTCTACCATGATCATGATTTGTAAAGGTGAATTAAGCGTTTGAGATTCACGATTGTGCATTCTGTGCAAAATTCAAGTGTATGCAGACCATAATTAAATGATAGATATGATTATTATGGAAGATGGGTTGTAAAAGGGAAGGGTTTTCCATGTGTACATAATAGTCAAAGAGCGTTTCTGAAAAAAAAAATAGGCAGTTTAATTTCCGAAATTACTTTGGAAAAAGGAATTAGTGTTTGGATTGTAATGTCATGTTTCCAAGATTCACTGAATTTTTTGAGTAACTTATCTCCTTAAGAGTTATTTAGCATAAGTGTGCTGCTTATGATCATTTGACTGTTTCTGAATATATATGTTGTTGGAGTAATTTCAGGAAGAGTCGGAGTTGCTGTAAGATTGAGACCTCAGATTTCTGAAGAGCAGGTAGCAGATGCAGATTTTGCTTATTGTGTGGAGTTGCAATCAGAGGTTCTTGATTAAACTTTAATATTATTGATTTTTGACTTTTATGTATCCTATGGTATGATCTATTAATAAGATTCACAGCGATGCCATTTTTTCACATTATATTTTGCAGCTTAAGAGGTTGAAACTTTGTAAAAATAATTGGGACTCGGACACATATGAGTTTGATGAGCTTCTTAATGAATTCGCATCACAAAAGAGAGGATATGAATTTGTTGCAAAACCTGTTGTTGAGGTGAGTGTTTGATGCGTTTTCATTCAACTTTATAAAATTTTGAAATATTGTTCTTAAGATTAAACTATGCTATGCCGTGAACTTTTCTCATTGCAAAATGACTCGCAATCCTGCACATTCTTGAATAAAAGAAAATGATAGGTGGAGATATTCTATATTGGTTATTTCAACCTCTGGCTTTTATCATAGATGGATTACATATGTAATCATGTGTGAACAAATAACTGAGATGACCAATAGCGATACTCTAAAAATAAATACAGATTGAGATGACCAATTGAACTTGTTAGTATGAAATTGGCCGATGGCAAATATGATTGGTGGTCCTCTATATGAGAAATGGCGGTCGTTCGATCTAATGGCAACTATAAGTATGAAATTGGCCTATGAATGATATGATCTCGCTGCTCCTTATTTTAAATTGAGAGTGATTAGATTTCAATCAATCTTCCGTTGATTTGTTTAATGTGTTTGCAGGAGTGTATAGATTTTAATATCCAGCAAGTTTGATTACATGGTGTTTGTGTTTTGGTCTCTAAACAGGAAGTTGGCATTAAATTGCTAAAGTCACTAACCAGAGATGATTTAAAGAATATTTGGTGATAACTTCCTTGAATGGATTTCATTTCCTGTGTTTGAGCAGGTAACTGGATCGATTCTCCTTTTATGCATTCTTTTGGAGTTCCTTTTGATTATGTGGTTATGTGGTGTTATTTGCATGAATGAATAAATGTGAAATGATACTTTAGGTAAGGTTGTTACTGAATAATACAACATCGCAGAGGGATGGATGGTTAATATTTACTCACATTTATGCATACAACTGTGTTGAAGGGATTTGATATAAAGAACAGTAATGATTTATCCACTGCTGTCAGTTGTTATCTTTTCATGTGAAACAACATGTGAGGATTAATTTTCTTGGTGTCTCTCTGTTAAATGTGATATTGAACTAAGTGTGGATGAATTATAAGCTTTTTCGAGTTTCAGGAGAGTAAGGAATGGTAATCTCTTAGCTTTTAATGGGATATGGTCTAGATTTAGTTAAAGATATAACAGTCTTGATATCCAAAATGAATGCTTGTTTTATGGTGACTAAGAGGCTCTGAATGTATGATTATACCTTTTCAATAGTTATATGTTTGGATTTTTCTACATTATGCTAATCTTTATACTTTTAGATGAAATGGCAAAACAAACAACTGAGAAAATTGTGGCCATATATTGCATATGTAAGCTTGACTTCTATTTCAAACTTTTATACACTTCTGATATTTGAGTTTTATTATTTTTGTAGTTGTCCATTCCAGTGAATTTAGGTTGGTGGATTCCTTCTGTCAAGTTTTCCTCATGCTACGAAGGCGATCATCAAAGATACTAGGAATTCACGCAGTTTTGGTTTCATTAGTTGTGATTCTTTTGAGGCGTTGGATGCTGCCATTGAGGTAAATTTCTACAAATGCTCTTTTATAGACCCTTACGAAAAATTCATTCATAAATTTTAATCAAGAATGTAAATGTCAGTCTTCTATCTACTTGAGAATTTTAATCGAGCTTATAAACCCTAAACCCGTACTCGTATGCACTACATCAAACTCTTGTAAGTGCTTTTGTGGTTCCTCACCTGACAAGCCATGAAAAGACGGAAATAAATGTATTAGTCCATATTTAAAATTATATGGAATTAAAACAAGAAAGTTCACTCCTAAAGGAAATAAAATCATAAAGATTATAATGCCTTATTTAGTATTATTGATCCATAATTGATGGCAATCCCACGATTATTGGTGATCCCTTGATCTATGAAATTCTTTCAATTAGGGGATATGATTCATTGGATCCCTTCAATTAGGGGTAGTAATTTAGGGGAGGTCCAATACTTTGTAAGGTGCTCATGGCCTTATGGTCCTTTGGACTTGTGGTCCAATTCCAGAAGAATGCATGGCTTATTTTCAGTATCGGTGTAGAGTTCAACGGTGGCATCCATTGAAAGTTTGACACACTTTGTAATTGCCAATTGAAATTTATGATATCGGCTCCTAGTGATTGGTCCAGGAAGAGTTATGATTGGGTCCGATTCTTTCATGATGGTCACATCATCTCCCATCTCTTGAAAAGGTTGTTCCATCAACCTCTCGTCACCTACATCAAACGGAGACAAGTCAGTTACATTAAATGTAGCATGGACATTATACTCACCTGAGAGGTCTAGTTTGTAGGCATTATCGTTGATGCGTTCAACGACTTGAAAAGAACCATCGCCTCGTGGGGACAACTTATACTTGCGTTGTGCCACACCTAATCACCAGGTTGGAAGACAATTTTCTTGCGGTGACGGTTAGCAGCTTTGGCAGGCCACGCATTGGTGGTGTCAATTTCCTTTTGTACTGTCTTATGAAGCTCCTGAATCTTTTGTGCCCGATCCCTGAAACTAACATTTTGTCGCTCACTATATAGTAGTAGCAATAAATCAATTGAAGAAAGAGGATTGAAGCCGTACAGTACTTCAAAAGGGGACATGTTAGTAGCACTATGAATAACACAATTATATTCAAACTGTTTTAACTCACAAAGTCCATGAAGGTGGACTCATGGGGCATTTTGGAGCCACCAAAACTCTTAAACTTTTGCAGGAAAAATGTTATTTTCCAAGCATGCGCAGACGTGGAACAATTACGCGTTGCGTATTGCTAATTTGTTTTTCAAAGAAGTTGTTAGAATGTATGGAATTCCCCGTACGATTGTATCTGAGGGCTATTTGTATAAGGCTGACTAGTTGTGTATTCCACACATGAATCGAGCCATGGTTGCTTCAGGATCCTCCACAATATTAGCCTGCATCATGGCTATCTCAAGCTCTTTATAATACTCCTTTACAGTTCTATTACCTTGAGATATTTGTTGAACTCGTTCGTGCAGCTCCCTTCTATACTAGGATGGCACGAATTGTTTCCTCATAGCCTTTTTTATCCCATCCCATATGATGATCCGGGCTTGCCCTTCTCGCCTTTGTTTTGTACTCAGTTGTTCCCACCAATTAAGGGCATAATCGGTGAACTTCATTAAAAAAATCCTCGTCCATTGCTCATCATCATATGAAGAGCAATCTCGAATCAACTCCATCTTCCTCTCTCAATCAAGATAAACATCCGGGTCAGAATTTCCATTGAAAGAAAGGATGTTAATCTTTTAGTTCCTCATAGGATCTTGATTGTATTTATTTGGAGGGGGTGGCACCCATTCTTCATCAAAATTTTCAAAAGAGTCTTCCCTACCTCGGTATATAGGATTCCACCTTGCAGATCGACTAGCGTTGGGGGCAGGTTGGACCTGTTGACACTTAGTTGTCAATTCTCGAATAGATTGAGCAAGATAGGCCAACATCTAGTGTATAGTGTCCATCTCGTCAGTAAGTTTCTTTGTGAATCATTCTTCGAATGCTTTGGATAGCGTTATGATTTGAGGATTAGGGCGTTCGTCTAGGTGTCCTTCACCTACCATCAAAGAAAAAATATAAAAATAAAAAAAGGTTATATCCTCACACAGGTTTCTCCTCTCTTGAATCGCGTTTTTCGGTATGAAATGATCTTGTCACAAACACTTTTTCACTCCGCTCGTGTTTCACTCACTCAAATAAAACTGGCAACGACCCAATGCAATTCCCAAATCAAAAACTTTTAAGTAAAAATCACAAGTAATAAGACCTTTAGATAATCAAATAGAAAAACGAGAAAGACTATAAAATTTTTTTCGGATTTTTTTTTCAGATATTTTTTTTTGGTATTTTTTTTTTTTTTGGGACTTTTGTTTTTCAAATAAGAACCATGATATCAATCAAGAGATTTTACCAACTAGCTCTCATACCAGATGATGTGAACTTGCCAAGGATGATAGTTCGGATCGAATTCCACATGAATAAGTAATAAAAATATTGGAAAGATTTGGATAAAACAAGGGATGAATGGATATATATATATATATCTATATTAATGGAGATAACCCGAACTCTCTTGAATTGAGAGATAGTTAGGAAGGCAACATGAGAGATCAAACTCATGTCTCACAATCCTCTAAACAAACCGACAATACAAGCTAAGGCAATAATAGTTCCAGGACTATTTGAGAGGCCACGACTTGTTTCAAATCACTTGAAACAACTCGATTTAGGGATATGAAAATGTAACCGAATCACTCAAAATTACACTTCAAACAATGCACAAGAATTGCTTTTGAAATAAAAACCAGTTTTTAAAATATCTTTGTTGAATGAATAATCTTTACAATGATAATCATGGGACCTTTTATAGAGGACCCATGGAAATTAAAACAAGAAAGTGCATCCTAAATAAAATAAAATTATATAGATTATAATCAGCCTTATTTAGTATTATTGACCCAAAATTGCTGGCAATCCCACGATTATTGGTGATCCCTTGATCTATGGAATTCCTTCAATTGGGGGATATTGATTTATGGGATCCCTTCAATTAGGGGTAGTAATTTATGGGAGGTCCAATGCTTTGTAAGGTGCTCCTGATCTTATGGTCCTTGGGACTTGTGGCCCAATTCCAGAAAAATGCATAGGTTATCCCTTCATGATGGTCACATCAATTCTTTGTGCCATCGGATGTATCACCTCTTCCTCAACTTCTTCGATCTCTTCACCCTCGTCATATATTAAGCAAGAAAATAGAGTAAAATATAAACAACCAAATATAAAAAAAAACAAACTAAATACTGCTCTCCGGCAGTGGCGCCAAAATTGCAAGCCTGTCATACAGCTGCAAAATAGATATTAGTTCCTACGTCACAGAAAAATGCAAAATACAATATAGTAGTGATGAGTAGGGTCGTCTCCGCAGGAAGCAATAAAGATTTGACAACTTAATAATTTATAATTATATATATAATTGGGGGATTTGGATTATCATGCTAAATAAGCAGAAAAATAATTCAAACTAGAAAGAAAATAAACTAAGTTAAAATATAAACAAATACAAAAATTAACTAAACTCTAGCCTATGCACGAATTTCCATTCGGTATATGAAAATTCGTTCATCGGCCATAATCAAGTTTATTGGTTTATTGGATAAATTGGTTTCAATTGATCTACACGCGTTCACAAGTAATCTTTCCTTACTTTATCGATACCTAAGGTACGACCGCTAGCTATTCCCTAATCGAGTGAGAATCCTATGTACGACTATAGTATTACTGCTTTGACAACATTGAGAACCAGAAAGGCCAATTCAATTTAACCAAATTCCTACGAGGATTTGTTCAAAATTGATTTTAATTACTCCATAGAGTATTCTTCCTCTAGGTTGCTACTTCAATTGAAAGATTACACAATTACGGGTGTCAATCTTCAATATAGCTATGAAATCTCAAACTAATACATGGCCACAAATATCAATTTCAGATTTATAATCTCGCCAAACAGAGAAATTAAAAATGCCCAATACTAATAAACATCAAATTAAAATCAAAACCAAGTATCACAAATTTTTATCCCAAACGTCAATTCATACCTAAGTTAGAAAATAAATTACTCAAAATCCATGAAAATCGAAAACACAAAGAGAAATAAGAAATTCATCAAGCCTTCAATTTGGAAATCGATAAAGAAAAACAATACTGATAATGAAAGAAGAATGCCCGGAAGTCGTATGCGCTCTTCCTCGAAGTTCTCTCCGCACTGCTCTTCTTTTTTCCATTTCTCTTCTCCCCAACAAGGATTGATTTTGTGTGAAGAACATGGTAGTGCATTTATTCTCCCCATTCTTCAATTGCAAGTCGTGTGTTTTAATTCTTTGTCCCATGATCCCATTTGTAATTATATCCCATTGGTAATTACATCCCCATAATTTCTAAGTTTGCCAATCTACCATGGAGGACTGTTTTGTAATTTTCAATTTTCCCATTATGTTTTGTACTTGCATGATCATGCCTAACGCCTTTCTGCTCTTTGCTTGCACAATATGCCCAAAAATTTGCCAACTCTGCAATGCCTAGTGAACAACTCAAAAACACATCATTAAGAACATATATACGAATTTCACACCCAAAATTCGCTCAAAATATAATAAAATATTTATCTAATATAGCACATATCATTTACTCTAGAAGATAGGCTAGTCCATTGAGTACGAATTGATTCGGGAAGATTTGCATTTGAAGGAGCCTCTGCAAGGTTCAAGAGGGCCAACTGGATTAAACTTAGTGTGTCAGGACTCTCAGGTGCTGCCTCCAAGCAGGGCCAATTGGCTCGAAACTGCTGGAGCCGCCACTGCATCTCTATGTCCAGTTAAGTACTCACGAAACCTTTCCAAGTTGATATCCTGATCAAGAGCAGCAAGAGTGATGTTGGGAAGAGCTGAAGTTTGTTCCCTAGAGGGAAGCTAAGTCTCTGATACTCTCGAAGGCGTATGTCATAACAGGAGT